GGGGGGGAGAGAAGCCTGAAAAATAAACCAATATTATCCTAGATTAACAGATAAAAATGTAAAGAAAAGTGATAGATATAGCTAGCTTAGATTGATTGACTGAATGAATAAATAAATAAAAAAGACAATTCTTCTCATGCAAGTCTTAAGGGCCAGCGGATCCCTGCTGGACTCTGCCTCATGGGATGGACGATTTCTGCACAACACCTTAGGCAGCTAAGTTGTTCTTAAATAGCTTAGTAGTTTTTTTTTAAAAATATAAATATATAGGCAGCTAAGTTGTTCTTAAATAGCTTAGTAGTGTTTTTTTAAAAATATAAATATATAGGCAGCTAAGTTGTTCTTAAGTAGCCTTATAGTGTTTATTTATGCACACACACACACACAAAATAAAGCTATTTAAGAACAACTTAGCTGCCTATATACGTACTGTATATATGTACAGTCTGCCCTCAGCAGAGAGGCAGAGATCTTCCAGCATGGTGCAATCATAATTATATATATTCAAAAGCTTATAATTGCGCCGTGCTGGAAGATCTCTCTCTCTCTCTCTGCTGAGGGCAGACTGTACATATTTAAATTTTTTTAAAAAAAACCACAACTTTTGGCGGGAGGGCTGCCTAGGCTCGGTAGTCCAAAAAAAAAGGGGGGGTGTCCTTTCCCGCCTTGACAAAAAGGGGGAAACAAAAAGAAAGGGAACGGGCCTCTCTCTCTCTTCCCCCCCCTTTCGCCGCCTCCGCCTTCGAGGCTGCCTCCTCAACACCATCCCCGCGAGGGAGGCCGCGCCGGCGGGAGGAAGGAGAACCACCTTCCCTCACCCGACCGACCGACCGCCCAAGAAATCCACGTTATTTTTCCAACGGCAGATCTTTATTTTCGTATTTTTTTTGTTTGGGTTTTTTAAAAAAAGAGGAACCGTTAACGGTTCCCCCCAACCGCCCCGAACCGAACCCGCTGCCCCGAACCGTTCATGACGTCACGGAGCTGGCGGAAGTCCCGGGTGCGCCCGGCCCGGAAGGCCTGCAGGGCCTGGTGCAGGTAAAAGACCATGACCCAGACGTTGGCCTGCTGCTCCGTCGCCTCCCCGCGGGTTTCCGCGCTTTCTTCGGCCGCCGCCGCCGCTTCCGAGGACGACGACGACGCCATCCCGGGACACGCGCCGCCACCTCGAGCCGCCGCCTTGCCCTTCTCGCGCGCCATTCCCGCCTGGGAGGGGCCGGGCCACGTGAGCGGCCCGCCCAATCAAACCCCGCGTCATGGGTCACGTGAGCGTCCGGTCCCTCCTCCTCGGCTCCCAAGGGGCGGGGCCTAGGAGGAGGCCTTCCTCCCTGAGTTTATTTATGAAATTTACTTATTCCTCCAAAATTATTTCAACCCCGCCTTTCACCTTGAAAGGGACCCGAGACGGCTTACGGCAGTTAAAGATAATATTTAAAGTTGAAAACAGTAGACAACGGGGGGGCTAGCATCATTCACCGTTTTGTGCAACGCCCTTCTTTGCGCAGATGATGGAAAAGTTAATTTCCCTCCCTAGATTTAAAAGCCAATCAAAACACTGCTCTAAATAAACCTTTCTTTGCAACCTTGCCTGATGCATTTTCCCGCCTTTTTTCACCTCCTGCTTGGTTGTTCATTTGCTTCTTCCACCTTTTAAGCTTCGTTGTTTCTTAACTGCTCGTTTAATATATTATTGTTATCCTTAGTTTTAACTTCTGCAAACTGCCCAGAATATTGCATGGCACTAATAGGCAGTGTATACATCTAAGATATAAACATGCAAGAATAAACATGCAAGGGGGAATCCACAACACAGCAAAAGAGCACTGATATCTTTTTCTCCATTTGGTGAAACCTGGATAGTACGTTTTGCTTCTTTTAGCTGAGAAGCTTAGTCTGCAACAATCTTTTGCAGCCTAGACCTGCATGCAGGCTCTGGTTGCAAGAACATCATTTTCAATAAGGAAGCACCATCTGCGCTAATTGACCTCTTGAATGAGCTGTTGCTCCTGTGATCATCCAGACACTGGGGCCCACTGCTACAAAGCATTCTCACCAAAGTGGAAAATTATATGGGTGTGTTCCCAAGACTGGGGTTTTTCGACTGCAACAAAATTATGTGCAGAGGGGCAAATATCAATGTTAACTGCACCATTTTTTTAATGGTTGCAAAGACATGCCTCTATACTCTTTAGAGATTACCAAAGACTTAGGTTTAGGGACATGTTTTTTATGGAGAAACTGAAAGATTAATATAAGCCAGGGGGCATTTGAGATAATTTGGTTCAGCTCTGTTCCTCACAGAGATAAGGCAGATTCATAAGATTGTAAAATACCTTCATTTATCTTTTGTTTTATGTTTGTTTGCAATGCTCTTAACTCAGGGGTGGCTAAACCTCAGGCACAATCCGTTGCGGTTTCTTTCTCTCTCTGGTAGAAGCCAATGATGTCAAGTAGAGCTTAGTTAAAAATAATTAAAGAAATTCAAGCCCAGTCACTGCTTTTTGCACCAGAATAGAATCTATTCTATGGTTGTTTCACATAAAAAAAGAGTTATCCTAAACTCTTTTCAGCCACACCTTGGAACTACGCCAGTGGTTTACAAGTTAGATTATTCTATGTTCCCCAAATAAGTAGTTAGCTATGAAACCTTATTTGGGGGTAACAAATAATGCAATGAGTATTGCTATGCTTATATCAAAAAGGATGTAGCAAGTATGGTAGTTCCAAAGCTCATTTTACATTTAATGAATAATATTTAATACTTTTAAGTTACTTTGTAAGCCATTTTGGAGGTAATTTAAGTCTTTTTTCCAAAACAAATCCTAACTGCCAAGGGAGGTGTCATTTAGTTATGCCTTCTAGATTTCTGTAAATATCCCCAAGGTATACATGTGAATTGGCTGCTAGACAAACCAGGAGTATTTCCCTATATTATTCTGGTGTCTTGGTCACGACAGCTCAATGTGTTATCACACAAATGAATTACACGTATGAACAGACCAAGTCAAGTCAGTCTGGATGCCTTTCAAAACATAATGTTCCGAGTTTTGTTTCCAGAATTATAACTTATGATATGCAGGCAGAACAGCTGCTACCGTTAAAGAAAAGGGCCCCAAATCCCATTATGAACCCCAAAATGGACAAGAGCCACTGAGTCAACGCTTACTGCTAGCAGAGAGTTGCAAACATCTCGCTGATTCTGTGAGTTTACTCTGATTGGGACTAGGGGCTGGATTTATGAACAACTGCAGACTGTTTTTTTTTTTATCAGGGTGCTTAACTTTCTTTCAGTTTTCCTCCATGTATATGTCTCAAATTACTATTGCTGGATTAATTTGCCTAGAGATCAGCATGGTTAGTTTGCTGTTTTTGTTTTAGGTGTACTGTGTCAGATAGCTGTGCATCTTCTTTGAGGGCTGATCTGTTGTCTTCCCCCAATTGTGCACTCTGACTTTCCTGAGCACATGTTTCCCCCCCACCCCTTCAATGAATAGCTCAGTGGTTTAGGTCTCTGCAGAACCAGAGGTTGGGGGTTCGATTCCCCACTGGACCTCCTGGGAGAAGAGCCAGCCTGGGTGGCCTTGGGCCAGCTGCACAGTTCCAAAATATCTCCAGAAGAAGGGAAAGGGGGAAATCTGTATATTCTCTACCTGGAAAACCCTGAAAAAAGGGTCATACGAACTCAGAACTGACTTGAGGGCATATGATTCATAAATGGCTAAAGCCTTGTTTGTGGCTCCAGGAGGGGGTGCCCGAGAGTAAGTTAGGGAAGGGATCCTTGCTTGTCTTGTTTTGACTGCTATTTCCATCAGCGCTAAGGAGGACAGGCTGGATGTGTAGCTTCACTTACCACTGGGCGTAGTGTAGCCACTTGCACATTACCAAACTGAGAAAGCATCACTCCAGGAAAAGAGGGCACTGAACTGCATAAAATTGTGTTTTAATGTATAGGTACAGATGAAAACTTAGACATTATTTTTCTGGTATAAACAGAAGGACAATACCTCTCACCCAAACGGGAAAGACTCTGAGCAGTTGGCCTCTGTGCCTGGCACTCATTCTGCTGTCTGGGTGGCAAAGAGGTTCCAGTTGAGCTCACACACATACACAAATGACCACAAGATCAGGGTGAAATTTCACATGAGTTTCTCTTTCCTTTCTCTTGCTGAATTCTGGGAATTAGTTGATTTGTGGCAACATCGTATAACGTGTCCAGTTGGGAAAGCATCATTGTTATGATAGGGTACCCTTGAGCATCTTTGAACCCTCTCCTAACAACTGCCCAAACTGATTCTGTCTTTTTAATTTTTATTACATCGATATCCTCCTGACTTTTCTCCAGAGAGCCCACGGCTTGTTCTCTACTTCAGAACATAAGTGACCTTGCATGTTCTCTATGGTGGCAAGTACATGGTTGGGAATGCTGTAGAAGGTTCTACATAATAAGTCTTTTAAAAAAAAACCGAAATCATCATGAACCTTGAAAAGGATTTTTTTTTAAAGGCAGCCTGAGTGATTTGGTTACTTAAGAGTTTTTAGAACATTATTTTAGAGTTAACAAGTTGAAGCAAAACTGTCTCTCTGAGAATCATTGTTTCTCCCTCAAGTTTCAGTGGGAGTCTTGGGAGAAAGGAGGTCTGCCCTGCTAACTCTAAATAATTAATTTTTGATTTGCCCGATAGGAGCCGAGGCAAAGCCCCTTCCCTGACTGTCTACTGCCTCATGTCTGGCCTTCCCTCCCACCCTCAGCAGCCATTAGAGGAAAGGAAGTGGGAGTTAATTCCTCAGATCTCTCCTGGGCCTTAATAAAACTCCCCATTCTGTAGTTCCCTGGACAAGGTGGAAAAATAGAACAATCAGAGAGGGGGAAAATATCCAAAGCATGCCAAATGGAAAATTATGGAATGGTGAGGAGGGATATATTAGTACCAGACATATTAAGGTCATTTAAAACAATTAAATTTTCCCTTTACCTTCTGCATGCAGTAAATTCAGGATGCACCATTTATACAGAATATTATTTTGTTGCTGCTGCTGTTATGTGCTGTCAAGCCACTTCCAACATATGGTGATGCTATTAATAACCGATCTACAAAATGCCCTCTTCCTCAACAGCTCTACTCAGCTCCTGTAAACTCTGCCCTGTGGGTTCCTTTAGGGAGTCAAATCAATTTAATATTTTATCTTCCTCTTTTCCTGCGGCCTTCCACCTTTCCCAGCACGATGGATAGGAAAATCCTATCTTCTTGTGATGTGCCCAAAGTAGGACAACCTCAGCCTCAATATTGTTGCTTCCAGCGATACAGTTCAGGCTTGATTTGATGTACGACCCGCTTGTTCACCTTTCTGGCAGTCCGCGGTATCCCCTACTTACTTCTTTCCCAATATTATTATTTTTGCTCCAGGGAACCATTGAGAACAACAGCGTTAATTCCACTGTGTATTTCTGATGATGAGATCGCTGTCAGCATCCACCTCTCTCCTGGCACATCTTAAGAGAAAGTAGAGAAGATGGGGGAAGTCAGCAGGTTGGCCATTTGCATTCTCTTGTGGTGTCATCACTCGTCCCAGCCAGGAAAGCCTCTGGTTTCATGGAGCCAAGAAAAGCATGGGCCAGGAAGGAACAAATGACAGTCATGTTTGGGTTTGTTTTTTTTTTTGGTCTCGATTATGTGATTTATGAAGCTCAACACAGTGATTAGAGATGAAAGACGTGTACATTACTGAGGTCTCGTGTATCTGGCCTTCGGCATGAGTAACTATAGAAGGGGGTGAGTGGGAAACAACCCTCCCACTGGAAAGGAAAATTCCAAGCCCCCCACCACCACCACCACCCCATGGTGTGTGACAAACGCAGGGGGAACTTCAGCAAATGCTTGGTAGCCTGGCCACTGCTGTAGAAAACAAAAGGAATCATGCAAGACTGGGGCAAACTGGAATCTTTGCAGGGCCTTACGGGAGGTAAGGGCTACACGATTAACTCTGCGAAGGCAACAGGATAAAGATCAAGCTGCGTGGAGGAAACCAAAGGTGTCCGAGATGGAACAAAAAACCTGCACGTCTTGCACACAGAGGTACCAGGAAGAGAAAGGATTCTCATGCACAACCTCCAGGATGCTGCAAACAATAATCATGATCAAAATAATCCTGTTGATGAGTGTTTGGATGATCGCAGACAAATGCCACCTGCCACCAACATTTCTCTAGCATGAGGCTGTGTGTTTAACTTGGCAAGGTACATAGCGGCAGGATCACAGCTGAATAAAGACCTGGTTGAGTTAGGTCAGGACTGTAGTCTAAGACGGCAGGTAAAACAAACATGATTCCAAGAGTAAAGTCAACCCTCCAGGAGGGATCCTACAATGAGAAACCTAAGGGCCATCCTAAACAGGATAAGGTACTAGCAACATGCATGCTTCTTGTTATGGGAACAACAGTAGCACAGTGCAAAATACACCTTTGATTTGGAGTGTTTTTCCTCAACATGGGGTTATGTTCTCCCTCAAACCATATGGTTGTGGCTTGATTTGGAGTGTTTTTCCTCAACATGGGAAGGGTTATGTTCACCCTCCTCAAACCATATAGTTGTGGTGCTGCTGGGGGCTCCCCTGCAGAAGCTATTTTTGTGACACACAAGTGCTCACACAGACACAGAGTGCCTTAAAGCACTTAACGTCCTGCCTACGTATTCATATGAAGAGGCAGACATGCATATGATAGATGAGCACATGGTTCTAAACATGGTTTTGTGTGCTGTGTGAGTAGGAAGCATGCCACATTCGAACCAAGGGACTCTTGAGTGTCTGCAGCTAATGTGTAGAGCACATGCGTGTGGTGGGGGAAAATCATGACTCTCCAGGCTGACTACGGGGCATGCAAGCTAGAGGAGTTAGGCTGGAATCCAGTAATGCTTGGAACAGCCACAGGTTCCCCATACTAATGTAAGGTTGGGTTGGGAAGTTTCAGCTTTCCTGGCCCTTACCATTGGTCATGCTGGCTGAATCTTGGAATTAGATCCAGAACATCTGGAGGGACACAGGTCCTCCAGCCCAAGGAACCACACCCCAGCACCTATCTTTTTAAAAGCGAGTCTCTGTTTGGTTAGTACACTCATGGTCTATAATCGTATCTTCCTACACCATTCCAGGACAAGAACTAGCTTGAGGGAAGACATAAGAGGCAGAAGAGAGTAACTGGAAAAGGGTCTTTAAGTAAAAAATGCACACCTTTCTTTAGCAGAGCCATGGAGAAAGCAAGAAGGAGTTTCAGGTAAGGTTAATAAGGTCGCACTTATTACTTTGGACTCAGCTCTTGGGCGTACCCCACACTTGTCCAGCACGCTTGTGCACCCAATGTTTCTGTCCTGGCTTGCTTTGTGCTGTCAGCAAACAACTCACCTCTAAAGCCAGTCCAGGTGGGGAGAAAGTCGGTTTGGCGAAACCGATAAAATCTCTTTACAGAGAGAGCTGTCATCTGCTCCATAATTATGATCTGAGATAACCTATGATGTGAGCTGTGCAGGCAGCCTGTGTTTTTAAAGCAAAGTTTACTGTGTGTCCCTGTTCGGTTGCTACATCCCTACTGGTGTGCTTCCTAACCCCAAAGCTTGGGCCTTCTGCTTTCAAAATCCTAGTCATCCTGGGAGTGAGCTCTTTGGAAGTGGCATTGCTCTTTCTGCATGCATTTCTGGATGTCATATTGGTAATGCCAGGGGGTGGGGGTGGGAAAGGGGCAGGGACAGACGGATCTGGACCAGATGTCCTAAAATGGCCAAACAACACATTCTACTGTCTTGTCACTAGAATGGGTATAATGTCATCTGTAGGAAACAGGGCAGAAGACATTTCAGTAGATCAGGAGTAAGAGTCAGCAAAGGCCCTAGATACATTCAAAGTGAAGAATTCACACCTTCAGAATGCAAATGTGGCATACAGACTCGTGTGGAATAATTATGTGCAGAATTATTAACTTAGCCAGGAACAGAGGTGTCCCATATTGAGTGACTTGTGAGGCAGGGAGAATACATCACCCTGATTCCTAAGGCGGCATCTTTGAAATCAGAGACTTTCCAGAAGTCCCAACTTCTGGTCATGTCATCGTTGAGCAAATAACTGAATTGCTGCAATGAAGCGAAAATATCTAACCTACCTACATTTTTTGTTTTTATTGCTATAGATAAGCTGGAGCCACTGTGCAGATAGAGAAGCATCATAACTCTGCCTTTCTGGACTGTCATTATCTCTGCCCGTTCCATCTCTCGGTACCTTGATGGTAAATAAACAGAGAGGCTGCTGGGCTGTCTTCCAGCTCATGCAGTTCAACTTGCTTGACTGGAAAATAAAGAGAAATGCACATTTCCTGTCAAAATGATGGCTTTCCACACATACTCACCACCACCACCACCACGTGAAAATATTTCTTGCGACTGAATAAACAGAGAACAGGAAGGCAAGAATGTCGCTGGGGAGTAAGCAGGCAAAAAGACCCACACATGATATTTTACACGAGTTTAATATCTGAGCCAACAGATTTCCTTTCCTGTCCATCACCCTGGTCAAGGAAATAACATGAAGCACGTGGCGCTTCTGAAGTGCTTCTTTTAACTAGCAACATGCGGTGTAACTTATTTCATATATAAACACCTTTGTGCTCACACATATGTATTTACATCTTAATAAGCACAGATGTTTACATATATAAAAGTTATACAGTACATGTACAGTATATGTATAAATAGGTGTTAGTATATGTAGATTTATATTATCAAGATTTGTGTGTTTGTAGGTATGTGCAGACATGCATATACACACACATACAAACACAAGACATATTTAATATCTACACACATGTCCATCTATACACCCATGTATACAGATAGTAATAATCATGTGCTGTCAAGTCAATGTTGACCTATGGTGACCGTCTTCAGGGTTTTCTAGGTAGAGAGTACAGCACTTGGAAGTGGTTTGCCATTCCCTTCTTCTAGGTTTGGCCTGGGATGGTGCAGCTTGCCCAAGGCCACCCAGGCTGGCTCTCCTCCAGGTAGGCACCCTGGGGAATTGCATGCCCAACCTCTGGCTCCAGCCAGAAACCAAAATCACTATAATAGGACAGACAGAGACTTATTTATTGGTGTACTGTATTTCTATACTGCTGACTTAGTGTCCATGCCTATGCAAAACAGTTTACACATAGAAACAATAACCCAAGCATCCTCAAATAACAAAATACAAGTTTAAGAACACAGATATAGTAACTAAATAAACCCCCAAGTGATGACATATACACACACACTCCAGACACAATCATAAACACATACACACGCACATATGTACAGACACAAATATACACTCATTTATACACATAAATACATGAAAACACCTCTGTAATTGATAAACGCACCTTGATCTACACTTATGATCTACACTTATATATGTGGATAATACACATATAGATTCTAGATGCAGATGGCTACCCACTTACATGCACCCTTTTACACACCCCAAAAACAGCATGTATAACGACTCACAAATACACCTGTTTCAAGCACATATACCTGCATACAAGTAGCTACGCAGATAGAAAAAGGATCCACTTAGACTATGGTGACTAATGAATTAGGAAAATTGGCAAGGCAAGGCGGCTGCTTTCGGTTGCTCTGAGTATATGTGTACAGTATTTGTTTGCTGTGTATTTGTTTGCTCCTTTTTAATATCTGTGTACTAATTGTTTTTAGCTTTAAGAACAGCCTTTTAATGATGTAAGCCGGCTTTTTAAGGAGAAAGGCGGGGAAAATATTTTAAGGAGTCCTTTTTATTTGGCAAACCCAAAAGGTGCAAAAACAAACGCACGTGCAAGGTGGGAAGCAGAAGTGAGCAGGTCAGCGATTTCGGACTACAGCTCCCAGAATCCTCCAGGGAGGGAGACAGCCATCCGAGACCACGAGCCTTCGCGCCTCCAGCTTCAGGAGGACCACCTGTCCGCAAGAGGCAGCGCCTAGTGAGCATGCGCGCGCGCGCCTCCACGCTTTCTAGACAGGAAAAGCTCGGTCGGGCAGCCAACCACCAATCCTGGCTCTCCTTGCCCCCTCCAGCCAGAAGCCCGTATGAAGAGCGTTCTAGCCCCGCTCGCTTTCATAGAGGTCACCGGAGGTGGAGGGCCGTGGCCTCTCCTTAGTCCCGCCTTTCACATCGTTGACTGACAAGAGTGTGCCCTGTTCCGATTGGTTCTGTGAATCACGGCCTCTTTCTCCTCTCACCCATTGGCGTGCAGGCCGGAGACGCTCCGCCCCTCTCCCGAGCCGGCAACTACGGCGGCCTCGGAGGATCAAGAAGCCTCGTTTGGAACCGAGCATGGGGACGCCGGCGGACCGCGGCTACGACGGGGCTGGCCCCGAGGCTCCGGAGGGAGGGCCGTTCTTCACCCTGGCCGAAGTGGAGAAGCGGAGCACCGCCAAGGAGACCTGGCTGATCATTCGCGGTCACGTCTATGACGTCACCCGCTTCCTCGGCGAGGTGGGGGCCCGTCATGCTAATCTATGCAAATGAGGCATTGGCCCCGCCCTCTTGGAGGGGGGTCTCGGCCTGGGAGGGGCTCACCCGGGCAGTGCGATGGGAGGGTGGAGAGCCTCCAGGACACCCTTTTGGACTACAACACCCAGAATCCCCCAGGCATGGGGATTCTGGGAGTTGCAGTCCAGAAAAGGAACATTTCCATCTTGGGGACTGTGGCTTCTCTGAACGATTGCAGCTCTTCTGCGAAGACATTCCTGTTGTTACTGTTGTCAAAGCTAGTGCCTTCTTTGCTGACTTTCCAAGCCAGCAATGATGTCCTTATAGGAAAGCAAGAGAAGAACAAGGAAGCCAATCTTTACAGCTCATTAGAAGGGTAAAGAAAAATGTAATCTCAGGTCCGTGCAGCATCCTAAAAGGCCCCCAGCATTCTTACCGCCAAATGGCTTGATGGCATTTCCCACCTGTTTCGAATGCTTGGGGTTTTGCGTGAACTGTTTCAATGCTGCTTTCGGGGCCACCTCCGAGAAGACCCCGCTTGGACAGATTGGGCTGAAAGAGTGTCTCTGTGCATGAATTTAAGGAGGGGCCTTTCTTTGTGGTTTGGAAAAGTGGCCGAGCGCCGGGGGGGGGAGAGAAGTAGGGGCATTTATTCTCTGTGCCACCTTTCAGCTGGAGAGTCAGTCTTTCAAGCAAAAGCTGGCTGGCTTGATGAGCAGCATAATTGTCTTGTCAGCAGCTCACTGGGTGCAAAGAGCAACCCACAAAACAGTTGAGCAGATCATAAGCTGCAAGGCATTTACTCAGCATTTTGTCCTGAAGCCTTTATGTTGCTGTGACTGTTTTAGCAAGAATCATTCTTCTCTTCCAGCTTTTCTCTACTCTCTGGGCCATTTTGCTCACCCTCCTTTCTTGCTGTGGGGCAGCAGGATGGGGTTGTGTTACAAGCCTGAAGCATTGCTGTCAGTTGGTTGTGCAAAGCACAGGAAGGCTTTTTGCTAAGAGGTTGTCGGGTTCTGGATTGTTCCCCTCGGGCTTGAGATACAGTCAGATGTTCATTCAGATCCTTGGAAAGTTGTCAGGTGCAAGACAGATTACTTGAATCTAGTTTAATTTACAGCAATGGTTCCCAACCTTGGCTCCCCAGATATTATTCTTGGACTAAAACTCCCCAAAATCCCGGCCAGCACAGCTAATGGTGAAGGCTTCTGGGAGTTCTAGTCCTAGAACATCTGGAATCCCAAGTTTGGGAACCACAGATTTACAACCTAGCTCATATAACAGAAATAATGAAAGAACTGCATTCTCTAGTCCTAGTTACTTATTGAAACAGAGGGGGGTCATGCCGCCTTAGAAGGCCCATAGTTGGATTCCTGAATTGTTAAAGAATTGCATTTTTATTTATTTAGGGAAGTCTATTTAGAGCACCCTTGGTGACTCTGAGGGCAGTATACTGTGGAGCACAATGCCTGAAACGAATTATGCTGAGATAAAAGCACAATAAAACAAGACCTTCACAAGGAGCAGCTAAAACAGGAGACCCAGCTAGCCAACATGCCTGAGCTTAAAATGCGAGGATAAATAAAACTTGGCACTAAAAAGACAGCAGTGCTTCTCCCTGGGAAGAGTATTCTCCAATCAGAGTTCCACCATAGAGGGAAAGCTTTCTTCTCTGTTTCCACCTAACTTACTCCCCTTAATGCGGGATAAAGGGAAGAGCCTCCATTAAGGATGTTAAGACTGTCTAGAATCAGAAGGGTTATCCAGAATGTATTTCTGGGGGCTGTTGAGGAGAGTGCTTGTTTTGGGGGGTCTTCCTCTGTGTACCAGGGCCCTATGTTTAATGTTTGCAACTTTATTTGTTCCAAGCAAATTTTTGCAAGACTCTAGAAGCTTTAAAACCCAGTCTGGCTAGCATCAAGCCCTAGCAAAGAGCCCAGGTCCCTGACTTTAACTTGCGTACAGCCTCACGCCTTGTCCGACTGCTGTCTGGAGGGCAGGTAGTAACCTGTTTGCTGACCGCTTGGGGAAAAAAATGATAGTTTGGATGCAAGCAGCCCCTTGGCAGAGGTTAAATCCAATCTTGTAATCTGTAGATTGCATCTTCTCTCTTACTGATCCCGTTTTTCTAGGTGTCATGGGACACCAAGCTTTGGTTCCAAACAAGGTGGTGCTTTACATGCTGAGTAATTAAGACAAGCATGACACAAATGAACAAAACTGATTTTGATCCCAGGGAGAGGAGTCGAGGCTACAGGCTCTCTCCATTCCAGGCAAACCTGGTGGCTTTTCTCCTGCTTCTGCGTGCCTAACCTTAGTTCTGAAGGCCAAAACAACAACAGCTACAAAGGGCCGGATTGCCCGTGACTTTCGCCAAGCCCTTGTTGTGTTGTTGCTCATCTCTGACACTCACTCTGTCTGCACCAATTTCGGCGTGTCCTCCTTGGGAGAAATACAAGATCTGCCCCAGGGGGTATGCTAGTGACGTCAATCAGGGATGACTCTTTTCACCTCTGCCCCTTACCTTGCCCGTGGAGGTTTGTCGCTGGGGACAAGAATCCACCCCAGGGTTCCTTTGAGCGGCTCGAAGACCTGCCTGAACATGTTTTGCGTGCCTTGCACCCTTTGACCTGAAACTCTGTCCCCGTGATTCCTGTGTGGTTGGAGTCTTAAGAGTAGCACCTACAACATTCGGGGGGCGGGGGGGAGGCAAACAGAAGCAATATGGGAAGCTTGTCCTCCTTTCCCTCTGATTGCCTTGCTTTTTCATAGTTTCTCTACTGATCTTCCTTTCAGCATCCTGGCGGAGAGGAGGTTTTGCTGGAACAAGCTGGCCGGGATGCCACCGAGAGCTTTGATGACGTTGGGCACTCAATAGATGCCCAGGAGATGCTCAAAGAGTATCACATAGGAGAGGTTCACCCGGTGAGGTTCCAGGGCTCAAATCATTGGGGAAATACTGGTGGCACTTGTGTCATAAGGTCTGGCTTCTCTGAAAGACAGCGGTTTCTTGCGTGTTCATTCAGGAAAGGACCTTGGGGCTCCAGAGAGATAAGGTTGAGGCATTGACTGATCTCTGCCCCAATTTCAAGAGAAAGGAGGATAACTGGGGTAGCAGCTTGAACCCTTCAGTACCTTTTTAAATTTATTCTGTAATACAAAAAGAAAGGGAGGGAGGGAAGAAAGAAAGAAAGAAAGAACGAAAGAAAGAAACCCCTTCAGTGAAAGCCACCCAGTGCCCCCGAAACATTGCAGAGTTGTCATCTGTGTGCCACATGTTCATATGTTGAAAGAGTTGGGATCCTCTGTGTAACCTGTTAAATCATAAGAGGGGAGCGTTTATCTTTCTAGCATTGCAGTAAAAGGCTTTCAGCCACATTATGAGCATAGAGAACCCATTCCCACTGACCATTAGTTAACGCCAACCAACCAAAACCAAACCTGGCAGAGAGGTTCAGAGCTCTTCAAAACGGAAAGATTGCTCCAGTACAAAATTCTTCTGAGGGTTGATTTCCCCTTGCCTGCAAAAAGTACCTGCCACTGGACATAAACTGGATTACTATATGTTTTAGAGGAGAGGCCCATCTGGCAAACTGCAGCAGGGGCAGTTAGAGAATGCCCTTGAACCTTCAGTGAAATGAAGGGTCTGATACACATAGCTTTAGCTGGTCTTGTTCCTAAAGACAAGGTGTGAGTTGGGTCTTTGGGTACTGCAACCAAAGAAATCAGGCTGCTGGGGGGGAGTGGGGGTGGGAGGATTTCTGTCTTTTTTGGAATAGCCTGAGAAATTTATTTCCAGAAACTCATCTGCCTTTTGCCTCTGCTGTGTTCTTCTCTCCCCAGTGCGACCTTAAGCCGGATCCCTCCAAGGTAAGGCCTGGTGGTGGTGGCGTCATGGTTGGCCTTTCCATCCTGGGAAGCAAGAATTCAGAGTCATCTAGAAAGATGGCCTAAGGAGGGACACGTTGCCTTTGCACCATGAAAGAATTCAGAGTCATCTAGAAAGATGGCCTGAGGAGGGACATGTTGCCTTTGCACCATGAACGGCTCATGGTGCTGGGAGAAGGATGGGAGGTGAAGGGTGAAACTTCTTGATGTTGCCAGGATGCTGACAGCAAGAGCTTTCCTGGTGGGGCTGTTTTGCTTTCTTGCCTATGTTGCCAGGATGCTGACAGCAAGAGCTTCCCTGGTGGGGGTGTTTTGCTTTCTCCCCCCCCCTTCCTTTGGGAGTTACTGTTGTCCTTTAGCCTTTCCTGGGGGCTTCCTTCCTTCCTTCCTTAAAGCTGGGCTGTTGGTGTCTTCTCAGCTGGTTTTGCGTTCTGCCCATGATGCCTTCCACCTCGTTGAGGATTCATTTTTAGAGGTAGAATGCTCCTTCAACAGGGGGTTGCTCTGCTACTGCCTTCTGCCCCAGCAGAAAATCTTCACAGCGATTCACAAGGACAACTTGGAAACAGGCGGCTAATGCTTTTACGGGACCACTAAAATATGAAAAATAGGGCGAGCGTTCTGAATGGCTCGAGTGAGGCTTGAAAGCTTACCTGCCGAAATATTTTAGGGGCCCAAGAAAAGTCTTAACTTGCCTTTCTGTTTGGAGTTTTGCACAAGGACCACAGAGCTGTTGCTGAACTTGGAAGCCTTCTGTCTATAGACTGCAACTCCCAGAGTCCGTGGGAGCTGTAAGGTTATGAAAGGGATAGTCCAGAAGAGGAGTTGTGCTCCAGAGGAGGTGGCATAGTCAGGGTACAGAAGTCGCTATTAGCCACCAGGGAACCATCTCTCTCCTGAAGCCCCAGTTCCTGGGTTCCTACAGAAGGGAAAGGGCCATGGCCCACTTCTCCTGCTGATAGCCCACTCAGAGGCATTTCTTTGGCCACTCTGGTAAACAGCTGGCTAGACCCTAGGGCCCTCCTTTGGTTTGGTCCAGCTTCTGGGCTGCCCTCCTTAGGGAGACAAAGAGGCTTTGGGGCAACGGTACTGGGCTTTGCCCTTGGCTAGGGGAGCCAGGATTTCCTTGTCCAGCAGCCGTAGCTTAGTGGTGGTGGTGGTGAAACACTAGAGGTCTTGCAGGCGCAAGAATGTTGAAGCTGCCCCTTCCACCTCCCCCAGAACCTCTTCTATTGTTAGCCTGGTGGCTGGCATTGTATTTGTGCAAGAGTGTTTGCCGGGTGAATGCAGAGGCTGTCCTTGTACCCTCGTTCCCACGTCGGGGGGCTGCCCAGCCAGCCGGCCAGAGGAGCCACCCGCAGCCTGTGTCAACAGAGCATCCCCTTCCTGGCCAGCAGCAGCGCTGTGCGGATGCCCAGCGGTTCAATCATTGACAGAATGATTGGGGATTAGGACATTTCTCCGGCCTAGCTGGCATCTCAGCTGGTATATTGTCCGCTCCCTCAGACCCCCCCCCTTCCCACGCTTATGTCAACAGCAGCTTGGAATGAGCACGGTGTCCCAGCCAGCAGCTTACTGAACTGCTGAGAACATCGGCTTCAAGTTCCATCCACCCTGCCCAGCGATGGGCTGGAGGTTTTTTAGCAGAGCTCTGTGTTGGCCCTGTTGCCTCGCAGATGAAAAGTCCTTGCACGAGAACCTCCTGCACGCCATACAGGGTCTCTTAGGAAGCCATAAAGCCCATACCTTTTTGTGATTTAAGGTGCCTTGAGAAAATCGGAGAGCCTTGGCAATGTTGTTCCTACAAATCTCAGAACACGCGACACCCAGATTTAAAGGTTCACAGCTTCAGGAGCAGATGTAAACACGTGTGGCGTGCATTTCTGTGCCTTAACAAGCTAGAGAAGAGCGGCCAATTTAGTTCTTGCAGTTAGCTACACAACCCAGTCATCGACGCTGCGGCTGGCAAGGCGGTCCCCCTTTTTTTGTGCACTTCCGCCGCCCCCACCCCATCTGAAAGGCGGCCCTGCTTTCCCTTTCGGCATCCTTGCTGTGTGACTTATGTCAGGGTTTTCTGGGCCAGTTCCTGCTGCAAACTCAGTTCCTTCATTCCGGGGGTGAAGTAAACCGTCCTACACAAGAAGTCCCGCCTGCCCTGTGGAAGGGTCGAGGGGTCTCCTCCAGTGGTCCCTTCAAAATGCTCCAACCCCCAGCATGTTGTGGTGCTCACGGTGGCTTGTCAGCCTTGCAAAATTGGAGGAAAGCCCCTCTCAAGCTTGTCTTTGTCTCTGTTTTGTCTCTTCCTGGGCCGAGCTTAACTGAGGGCTGCCTTTGCATGCTCACCTCCTCCCTAACTCCTTGATCTGGGCTGGCCTTCTCCCTTTTCTCTGTGTGCGGCTTCCCTGAGTCTGAAGAACTCATAACCCCTTCTGTCAGGGCAAAGCTATTGGGCTCAGCGGCACTTATCCTTTTTAAAAACCCTCTTTGGTAAAGGGGGGGAGGACATTCTTTTCAGCCAGAGCCCAGTGTGGGTCTTGCTCCTTCCTTTGTAGGGGTGTGTGTGTGTGCCTATTCTCTCCCCACCACCCCCTCTTGGTAAAGGGGGGGAGGACATTCTTTTCAGCCGGAGCCCAGTGTGGGTCTTTCTCCTTCCTTTGTAGGGGGGTGTGTGTGCCGCCTGGGATGTTAATTACCAAAAGAAAAGTGATCATGGCACAAATTGGAGGGCGATGTGGGGGGGGGGAAATGGCTGAATGCCCTTCAAGATGAGTTTCCAAAGACCCAGCACTATAAATGCCAGCCGTTTTCTCGAGGCCAGGAGGGATCTGTGCACGATTCGGGGCAGCCCTTCCTTGGAAGAGGCTGCCAGGCTGGCTGAGCAGAATGAGATGCTGGGACGTCTTGCGGAAAGAGAGCAGCCCTTACTTTGCTTTCTCTTGGCTTGATCGAGGCGGCCGAGTTCATCTCTGACTCCTTGGATCACTAGGTGTTGGAAACAATGCCAGGTGATGCTTGAACGGTCTTCCTTGCTCTGTTCTGGAGGCCCAGGCCGGAATCCAGTTGGCAGGCGTCCCATCTATTCATTTCTCCATCTGTATATGTCTGTCTAGACTGCGTACTTGGCCATCTTCCTCCCTCATTTCTCCGAATGATCACCACCACCCCAGGTCGGTCTGCTTGAGAGTGAATGCCTGCCTGGCCCAGGGTGACCTAGTGAATTTCATGGTCATGCTGGCATTTGAACCCAGGTCTCCTGACTTCTACCCTGACACTCTAACCACTCCACCATACTTGTAGAGTAGACCAGTGGACTTATGTTGGCCCTTAAGAAAATCTTACTGATCTATTGGGTCTAATCTCATAGGGTCTAGCTAGTGAAACCAGGCCCTTTGCTGATCCGTGAACTCAGTCACAGCACCAGGTGAAGATGGTGGGGAGTCAAGCCAGCAAGGAACAGATGATGAGCTCCTCTAAAATGGAGGGGGCAGGAAAATGCACATGGAACTGGACGGAGACAGTGGATGGAAGGTGTCATCACCCAAGCTGGGCCCATCACCAAGGACCTTCAGCTCTCCTGTTGTGATGTATGCCACTGACATCCCAGAAGGGCTTTGATCGGGTGGAGTTGATAAAAAAAACTCGAAGCCCTCTCACGCTCGCAAACCTGGGTTGCTTAAGGCTCTTGCCTTTGCGCGCTCTGTCGTCTGTGATGAATACCAACCCCAAAAATGTGCCTAATACTTAATTGCCTTCCCGCTCTTGGGTTGGGATTGTCTGTTGGCTTAGCAAGTTTCTGTTTGCCAAAGCCTTGCTTGGTTTCAAAAGCAAGCTTGCTCCCATCTCTGTCCCCACCCAATGTGCACACGGAGCCGTCTCCGACAGACGGGTGGATTTTCTTCCCCAAGTGGAATTCTGCTCGGTGTTGCTGAGATTTTGCTTTCAGTACTGACTCAAGTCCGAAGGCATGTCTTCCTAACCTTCTCCAAAGTTCTCAGTCTTGTCATTCCATCTCCTTCTGCAGATGAAAAGGCTTTCTCTCTCTCTCTCTCTCTCTTTCTTTCCAAGTTTTCTGAATAACTGCTGTAATTGCCCTATTGCACAAACGTGAAGCAGACGTTCCTGGAAAGGGGGGGGGAGCAAAAAAAAATAGTGGCAGTATCATGCTTTCCTGCATTAGTACCTGCTCTAATCGCTTCTGTGTTGTATCACAGAGTAGAGAGCCCATCTCCTAGACTTCTGATGGCCTTTGCTTCACCTCCCCTGTGGAAAGTATTTTGCTGAAGCTGGCACAGAAGAAGAACCTCCGCATGTAAAAAGTCACCATTGCCTCCCCCAGTTTTCCTTTTTGTTTTAATTTTACAGCAAACAGCAGTAGTGTGTTTAATTGTGCCATTGATCATTGGGCGCAAGTTTACAAGCAAACTGGTTCCCTGTCAGTGTTCTGATCTCATGAGCCCGCCGGTGCAGATTTTGGGGGAAATGTGTTCATTTTATAGGTGAAGATCGACATGGTTACACAAAAAAGCAAGCCAACGGAGGCATCTGCAGAATAATGTTTTGAGAGCAACGTTTTTAAAGTTGAACAGTACTTTCAAAATGTTATTTTTTATTAAAATTTCCACACACTCCTCCCGTTTAACCTGGAAGGAACCATTTTATCATTAACACCTTATTTCCGAGGCTTCTGTCGGGGTCTCTGCAGTGAGGACAAGAGAGAGAGGACAAGGAGGGGACCATTCACATCTTAAAGGCAAAGGCACCTTTTCTGATTTTCCTCCAGTTGCTCAGCAGTGCCTCCGTCTTTAACCGGTCGGTCGTAGATAGAGGTGCAAACAGGCTGGCCTTCCCATTCTGAACTGGGAGGAAGGGCTAGGGTGCACTCAGATATCTACAGGAATGGAGGACCAACCACTGCGTGGAAGAGCATCAAACTCAAGCCACAATATCACCCTGAAGACAACTGATCTCACTGGACCCCCAAAGCTAAGCAGGGTCAGGCCTGGACTGAGTATTCGGGTGGAGGAGAACCAGGGAATACCTGGGAACTCTAGGAAGGGTTAGGAAAGAACCCTCTCTGGAGATCTGTGGCTGCCACCCAGGGTTTAATGGATTAAAGGGTCTCGCCTCTCTGGAGATCTGTGGCTGCCACCCAGAGCAGACAGTATTGGGTTTAATGGATTGAAGGGTCTCATTCAGCTCAAGGCAACTTCCCCTGCTCTTTGCTGTTAAAGCACCTTTAGAAGGGGCTCCTTTTAGTGGATGTCTGGAGGGGAGCACACCACGGGGAAGACCCAAGCTAAACCATCCAGCTGGGGACAAAAGCACCGGTGAAAAACGGCTCTCGTAGGGGACTTGCTCAGCAGTGCCCGTCTTGGTCCCAGTTCATTAGCAGAGAGAAGAGCAGCCCTCGCTGCTCACTGCTGTGAACCAGGGAATCCGAGTAAATCGTGGTTGTCGGATAGGACCTTCTCCAAACTGGTGCCTTCCAGAGGGGTTTGATGACAACGCCCATGGTCCTCAGCCCACATGGGCAAGGGGCTCCCGGTTGAGGAAGGCTGGTCTACTAGCCTCCCTGGGGAAGGGACTTGAAAGAGCAGGAATACATTCTGGAAGACTGTACAGCAAGGACTGTACAGCAGATGCCTTCTTGGGAAAATTGGAACACCATGGGCTTGGCGAGAGAGCCTGCTAACGAGCAGAGGTCTATATGGGAGTCCCTGGAGAGATCTGGAGGAGAAGAGGGCACATCTTGTGGGGTTTCTCTGGAAGGAGGAGAGCCTGAGAGGACTACTTTATGACATGCCTTTGCGCAGCCACTGATTCCAGCTTGAACCTGTTCCTAAAATGTACATAAAACATGTCTGTTTGTTTTCCCAGGTTCCAAACAAAGCTCCATCCAGTGAATCCAGGTAAGATATTCCACCAGAGCAAACAAACAAACCTCAGCATTCCCTTAAGTCAGTCCGGCTTTTGAAGCAAAGCCATCCCTCATGTATGTGAATTGACCGCTTGTGCTTCCCTCCTGACCCAAAGGCGGCTGGGGTGGGGTGGGGGCTTCATGGCATGCCTTGGCCTAGGAAATGGCCCTTTTCCTACCAGACCAGAGGCAGGTGGCCACAGCACCTTCCACCTGGTTTCGCCCTTTTACCTCCAAGATGTTTTGGACTCCCAGAAGCTTCACACAGGAAGAGATTCTGGTCGGTAGTGAGGGATTCTGGAGGTTGAATCCTGAGAGCCCTGCAGGGTTTGAAGACTCCCATCTACTGCTCTAGGTGGCCTTTGAGGAAGTTCTTTCCCAGCTTTTGACTGAGAGTTAGATGGCAGCCAAGGTTGACACTTCCGTGGAGCATGGGATCCCAGGCCATATGTGCAACTGCCTTGGCTGGATCATACAGAAAGCTCTGGGATCCACCTTCCTGCCCCAGTGTGAGTGAGCCACCCTAAAAGTTTACCTAACCCCATTAAAAAGATAGAGTCTCCTAGTGTTATCCAGAGAACAAGGTCATCTGCAACGCTGAGCAGGAGTCTATAGAACGCTGTGTAAAACATATCTATCATTGTACTTCGGGTCCTAAAACACTGATGGGCAATTTCTGGCCCTCCAGATGTTGGGTGGCGTCTCCTATGATGCCTTCTTCTTAGCTCCATTGCCTAGGGCCAACGAGAGTTGCTATCCTGATAACATCTGGAGGGACACAGATTGCCTACCTTTGTCTTAGCACATAACTATGTTATCTCTGTTTACATGTAGACATGGCCAAGCCTTGAACAGTCCAGTCTTGTGTGTCCAGGAAAACAGCATTTCAGAAAAGATCTTTCCTCTTCCAAGATCACTTATGCTTCATTCCCTTTTCCTTGTTCCTTAGTTTCTGGACAGTCTGGTTGATCCCGATTGTGGGCGCGTTGGTCCTTGGCTTAATGTATCGGTTCTACATGATGGACGGGAGGTCGTCCTGATTTGACGCTACCAAACCTTTGGAACTGGAAAGCATCCCATACGGCTGAAAGTTGTGGACTTCTGATCAATTCTGGGAACGTCCCCTTTTTGTCCGTCAGTCTAGTGTCTACGAAGCTGGAACCCAGAGAGAATCACCATAGATGCTGTAACTACAGACACAATTCACTTCCTACCATTCCATTTCCGCTGTCGTCAGCTTCCCATTCTGGAGCTTCCAGTTCTGTTGTAACAAACCAACCTGTGCCAGTCTGTCCTGTTAAGTATCGGGGGAAAGAATGGGCATGCAGTCAGTGGTCTTCTTTAGAGCAAGACCAGCCAGAGAAATGGCTCCACCAGCAGAGCATAGCCTGACCTGATCAGACATGACAACATGCCCCTTAATCTTCGGTGTTCCTCGGCTGCCTCTTTCTGTGTACGGTTTTTGAAATGGTTTCACTGATCTGTATTTGTAGAATCTTCTGGTTCATATGGTCCTGACTGACCATCTGCTTTTTTAATTGGCTTGTTCTCTAATAAAGGACTTTCCAGTTAATATGAATCTCTCTCTCTCTCTCTCTTCAACCTCCCCCCGAATGACCTGTTGGTTCGGACAACCTTGTGTTGAGCCGTTGCTTGTCTGTCCTTCTGAACTTGAGGTTGACACATCCTTACTTAAGTTGGAACTCAAAAGCCATCTGTGGTACCAAGTTCTAAATTCTTGTGCCAGCTTTATACCACCACCAGCTTCCTGAGGCCAAAAACTAACCCAACAAGCATCAACACTAAGGGAGAAGCAGTAGGAAATTGTGGCTCTGGGTTTGAAGCAAGAGAAGAGCCATTTCAGGATGATGAGGGGCTTACCTACAGCTTGCGCACTGTAGCCAGACATGAACAACACAACCAAGCAGCATGGAACAAGCATCGTACTGATACGTAAGGAAAGTTCTGCTTCCTTTCTTATCCTGTCCCATTATTTTGCCTTGTGCCACTAAGTCCGAATCTACACCGATGGCTGAAGGGCAAGCTGTGAAGCCGACCTTTCCCCCCAAAGTCACTCTGGCTCAGAGGCAGAGCACATGCTCTCAATGCGAAGGTGCTGAGGTCAATCTGCAATGCCTTTAAGCTAAGGCTAGAGGCAGAGCTGGCCTGAAACCCTGTTAGCGATGGCCTGTGTTGATGGAACTGGGCTAGGGGGTTGAGAATTGAACCACTCTGGATGGTGTTGCTTGTATTTCTTGGAGGTCAAGAATGACAGCCTCTTAGAGGAGAAATTCCAGTTGATAAGACCTTGAATATTAGGAGAACTCACACCTTTGGCTTCTGGTGGCAGTTATTCCCTGTTGGAGAACTTGGGGCTGAAGTTAGAATATGGGACACCTTGATTGAGTGCAGTTGGCTTATGACTCTGTAACCCCAAGTGCTACATAAACACAGTTCTTAATTTTATATTGTATATTTTGCCAGTCATGTCCGAACAGCCACTCTTGGGTTCTCTCCAGTCTATCCCTTACTCATTTCCAGGCTGTCCAGTGTCCCTCTTGGCTGGCTAGTGCTTTTCTGAAGGCAAAACAACTTTGCCAAAGTTCATTGACCTACAATATTTTTTTGGAAAGTGTGGAAAACCGATAGTCGCAATCAAGTCTCATTGAAGTTTGCTTTCTAGCAGTGTTTGGGCACCCACTAGCTATGTATATATCGTACATCTAAGTACCAACTAATTTTTTAAAAAATGCAGTTTACCCTTAAAATTGTTTATATGGGTGACTCTGTGAAGGCTGGCTTTCAAGCTGCAGTCTATTCTCCTGTGTTTGTTGAATTTAGCTGATAAGAGAACAAGGTACATGTATGTCTCTGGACTGTCTGTCTGTCTCTATCTATCCATAAAGCCAGGGTTCAGATCTCGTCTTACAAACTCACCCATCTGGAATAACAGTTTTGATGTGAAACGCTTTAGAAGCTGTCTGGTTCTGGGAAAGAGGCTGGGCGGTGCAAACGTTCTGTCTCAAGAGAGAGAGAAAGAGACTATGTTAAGGGCGAAACCATTCTTAAAACCCTGACCCAGTGCTAAAATCTTTATTGACCCTCTCATTCAAACCGGGTTGCGCTCAAGTGTCTGTCGTGGGGCTTCTTCACAGTGTGAGAAAGATGCTGAAGAAAATAAACAAACCCCTTTTAGTTTGTGCAGGCTGACCTGTCAAATATATGGAGAGGGAACAATCCTTTTTATAGATAGAGATGGATAATAGTAGTTATAGCAAGGGCAGTCAGGTATTTAGTTAAAGCTGCTGTATCCAAAATTAAAAGTTCAAAAACTGCCTGTGTGGATGTCCAGCCTTGGGTGGTAGGTGGAGGTGGGGGAGGAAGGGGAAGAAGACAAGGCAAAATAGATTCTCAGCTCTTTTGATTGTATGTGTTTTGGTCCACTGGCGTTCAGTGTTTCCACAGCTCACCCGTGGCTATGCCTCAGAATGGATTTGGGGCCTTTTAGGAAGCCGTGGGGGTCAATTTGAGGAAAGACAGTATTCCTCTCTCTCTCTCTCTCTCTCCCCCCTCTTCCAATTTTCTTGGACAACAAATAACAAGAGACAGATGTTGCCTTCAAGACTTGTTAGCTCCCCCGAGCAGAGTTGGCAAGAGGGGAGCTAACAAGTATACAGTATATGTGGACTTCAGCTCTCCCTGAGAAAAGGAACTTTTCCAAGCTGCAGGGAGGTGGTCCCTGCCCTCCCAAGGAGATGCTGGAGGGGTCTGGGAATTTTACCTTCAAAAAAGGGATTTTTTTTCCTTTCAAGTTCTCTTTGGATGTACCTTTGATTCGATCTTGCAAGTCTCCCACGTGTGGAGAAGAAAACCTGAGCCAGCCTTAGCCACCTATGGCTTTCCACTGCTGTCCAGGATTAAAATTGCTGCAACAGACACATGTAACTAGCTGGAAGCGAAAGCATGCCCACCAGGAACTCGCTTGAGGTACGAGAGGGATATTGAAAGCATCAAGACAGTGTGTCTTTCGTCACCTTCCATCCGAATGGCTCTAAGCGAAAGCATGCCCACCAGGAACTCGCTCGAGGTAGGAGAGGGATATTGAAAGCATCAAAACAGTGTGTCTTTCGTCACCTTCCATCTGAATGGCTCTGGAATAGGGGAGCCTTTCTGTTTCTCGCCCAAGACTGGGATGGCTTCGAACAGGATACGATATAGAGCCCTGAAGAAGTAGAACGGGCTGCAGGCTTTTGGGGAAGTAACCCGAAAACTTTGAATGCCCAGGACTCCTCAGGCTGTAGGACCACTGCTACGTTGTGCACTGAAAAAAGGAGACGGTGATGAGCGGAAGCTGAGGCCAAATAAATCTTGCTACTCAGTAAGGTTCCAGGGAAGCAGTAATTTTTTTCCAAGCCGCAATAGATTATCTGGATGGCTCCCTATCCCTCGTTGTTATCTAAAATGGTTTAGAGACTAGCCATAGCATTTCAGATGCACATTGGCTCAGAAGTGAGCACCCCTGCATGAAAAAAGGACTTGCTTTTAAGGCACATTTCTGCCGCGTCAGAGCCTTAGGCCTTCTGGGTCAGAATTGCTTACCTGCCCTGGGCTACTTAGGAGTGTAAAAACAGAATCCGTTTGACTGAGCTGGCTCTTCCTGCTGAGCAGCTGTTTGGGGGAAAGAGATGCCCTGCGCTCCAGGTTTGGCAACTGGACGGACGCCTTTCCATCCTCAAAACAGAGAGGAGGAACCGGCTAGCCCTTGCCCTAGCTCCAAAAAAATTTAAAAAAAAAAACAGAGAGAAAGGGGTACTAAGTTGGGTAAAAAAAACAAAAACAAAAACAAAAAAACAGAGAAAGGGGTACTAAGTTGGGTAGCTCAGGGGTTTAGGAGCCAGAAGTTGGGAGTTCGATCCTCCCACGGGGCCTCCTCGAGAAAGAGGGGCTGGACTGGATGATCCCAAGGGTCCCTCCCAGCTCTGCAGTTCAAAGGTTGTTCTATAACAGCAGCAGCAACAAAAGCATGCAAAGGATGCTAACGTTATGGCGGTGGTTTGTATAATCATTTCTGTGCCAACTTGAGTGCTGCCATTAAACCTCGGGCGGGTTGGGGCCAGGTCATCTGGAAGAGCCACCCTCACCCAGATAAGATCCACGCTGAAGGCTTTGCTCTCATGTGCCCTCTGATAAGCTCACGGAGGTTGGTGGGCAGGGTTGAGATCAGCCACAGCCACCCTCCCACAAAGTGCCCTTTGAAAGTTTGGAAGCTTCAGCTAGTGTAGAACTTGGCTGATAGAATCCCGCCTGGTTTCTGCAGACGGATGTTGTGTTCATCATCATCATCTTAGAACCAGCAGACGGATGTTGTGTTCATCATCATCATCATCATCTTAGAACCGGAGACCTGGAAGGGACTCTCTGGATCATCGAGTCCAAACCTCTGGCTCTGCATCCAAACACTCAAGCCATGGAGCAGTTCTTGCATCAGTTCGGATAAAAACAGCCTGCGGATGCTCCGTGGATCCTGATGGGTGGTGGTTGGTGCCTGGCGCCCTCCTTTAAAGGCCTTGCCAGCTCTGACTGGCACCAAGGGAGGCTCCAGGATTTAAGCCAGGATTCCTTCCTAGCCCTATCCGGAGACGCCTGGATGGAATCTGGGGGTCCTCCTTATGGTGAACAGATGACCGGCCATCATGCTACAGCTCCTCTTGAGACAAAAACACCTACCGATCCGGAACCAACATCTGATGCCTGGACAAACATAACAAGGCTCATCTTTTTTCCTCTTGTACTCCAGTGAAGATCTGCCGGCCAGTTACACAAAGTCTTCCTTCCTCTCTATGGGACGATGCCAAGCAGGTTCCTGTGCCCTTGGGGGATTTGTGACCTACAGTTTTGTAACAGGGAAAGTTCCCTGTTCTGTCGTGGTGGGTAGGAACGATTACTCTGGACCTCCCAGTAGATCTCTGTATTTCTGAGTCCCAGTTATTTAACAATGTCTTCAACGAATTTACTCAGCCTGGCCTGACCTACCTGATGCAACTGGGAATATTTAGGGCAGCCAACACGGCTGGATGTATTGTATGACCATTTATTTAAAATATTTATACGCTGCCTCTCTCTTACAATGGATCTAAGGTGGCCTGCAGAGTTAAAAGAAACCATAGCAGAAACAATAAATTATCACAAACTTCTAAAAAGAATTAGACAAATATAATAAGAAGAACAGATAAAACAGCTGTAAAACATGTAAAACAACACCCAATAATAACACAACAGGCCTGTTAAAAATGTTCTGGTGTAAGAAAGCCATTTCTGTATGCATTTTATAGACAGGCAGTATGCAGCTGGTGGATTTTGGGGTTGTAGTAAAAAGTAGGTACACCGGGTTTTAGATGAATGGTGAATGAAGCTGGCAGGAAGAAAAAAAGGGATGAATTTAAAATGAGATGTTGGGGAGAGCTGAAGGCAGGAGGAAAAGGGGAAGGCCAAATCGGAAATGGAACGACTCAGGAAGGGAAGCCCCTGGGGTGGATTTAACCAGACCAGAGCCAGACTTCAGGATAGAGCTTTAGGGAG